GGAGTCCAGCCCGATGTGCCTCTGCCCGGAGTCCAGCCCGATGTGCCTCTGCCCGGAGTCCAGCCCGATGTGCCTCTGCTGCCCGGAGTCCAGCCCGGTGTGCCTCTGCCCGATGTGCCTCTGCCCGGTGTGCCTCTGCCGGAGTCCAGCCCGATGTGCCTCTGCCCGGTGTACCGCTGCCCGGAGTCCTGCCCGGTGTGCCAGTCTTTGATATCCCGCCAGTTACCAGACCCGGGCGGTGGAACATTTTTCCCAGCTAGGACTGTTTGGAGCGTCCTGAGGCCCGCTCCTTGAGGGGGGGGGGGGGTACTGTCAGGAATGGACTGGCCAGCAATGGTGGGACTCACCTGCCTTTTGATCTGCAGTACCAGGGCTGGCCAGCGGATGCTCCCCCAGCAATCAGAGACTCAACTTTGCAGCCAGCCAAACACCTGGAACTGATTATGCTGGGGTATTTAAGGGATGGCCAGACCCACAGACTCTGCCTTGGTGTTGTGTTTCTCTTGGGCCCTGTATCCTGTTCTCTGTTCCTGTCTGATTCTCTGCTGACCCTGCTCTGATCCCTGGCTTGTCTGACCATCCCTCTGCCTGACCCTCTGTACCACGCTGCTGCTACCTGTTCTGATCCCTGGCTTGTGACCCTGACCATCCCTCTGCCTGACCCTCTGTACTACGCTGCTTGCTACCTGCTGAACCTGGCCTGTGACCCCGACCAATCTCCGCTTGCTCCCCCTGTACCTACCTGCCCTATTGATATTGACCCGGCCTGCCTGACGACGCTTGCATGTATGTACTGTTATCTGTGGGTGGTTGGTTTGGTTTGGTTGCACTGTATTATGTTTTAGTATATTGCACTGTGTTTATGTTTGTATTGTTAGTGTTAATAAATTATATTGTTTATAACATATCTGAGGTCTGCGTTTCCCTGCGTCAGCCACACACCTCTGGTCACACCTGGGAGCCCTGACAGGCTGTAACCAGTCCGAACTGATATTTACCTTTTCTGGAGATTTCTCTACGTCTGGTGGGCTTGTTGCATAACACCCTGTTGCTGGAAGGAGGTCATAGTAATCATGGTGGGAAGGGATAACCATAGGTCTGGAATTTTTATCAGGCTTATGGTGTTGCCCAGAGGTATGGTCTGAGGAGATGATAAAGGTTTGGGAGCACCTTTCTAGAACCATCTTTCTCCTTTGACTCCCTGTATTCCCTGGGAGGAAGCCTTGTGAAGAACTACTGTCCCGGCCCAGCCTCAGCATAAGCCATGTGCTAAGGGCCCTGGATACCAAGCCCCTCACTAAAGTTCCTGAAGGAAACAAGCCTGAACAGAGATGCTCTGGGAGCTTGGTATGAGCTGCCATCTGGTCCTTTGAAGAGGGATTTTTGCCCATGGTCTCAGATATTTTTGGCTGGTTACAGAGGGTCAGAAGTCAGATTTAGGAGAAAGAAAATACTGTGACAGATATCAAAATGGTTTATCTAGTCATCTTCTGTGCATCAGCCTCTATTATTAGAGGTCATAGAATAAGTTAGTTGGAGAGCTGTTGGATCCAGGTACAGGGCAAGTAGCCATAGGACAGGTAGGAGAACCCCATTAATACCAGAGGTTCCCAAGGGAATCATCGCTACATATACATAAGAACAATGTCTTGCAGCCCCCACCCCTCCCATAGCTTATAAAAATGTAATGCTCTACTAATGGATGATTGTGATCAACAGGTTGCACTTGCAACCAGGCCCTGGGTGTTCACCACTATTAAGGGGTAGGGAGGCTCAAGAGGCCAGGAAGGGCCTCCGCTGCAGAACACGTGAAAGGGTCCTGTAATAAAGTGCCCCACAATGGAAGTAAAGGACCTGGGGATCTGTGTGGGAAGGGCCCCATGTAGGCTCACCCTGTAATAAGTGGTCAAAGGTGGGCACATTGTCTTTGGCATTCAGCGCACTGATGATGACCATGGCAGTGCCAGATCACTCAGGGACCCCACTCCATCCATGGCAGTCAACAACAACCCTATGGATCTTCTGCTGTTCCTTGTCCAAGGGTCTCTCCACAGAACCAGCTTGGCAAATTTGCTGCTGTTGCTCTGGTTCTGCACCTCCAGTGAGAAGACCGCTACTGCCGTTGAGCTTGTAGTTGGGCAGGGAGCTGGTGTCCACATCGGGGTCCTAGGGGGGTGACACTCTCTAGAAGGAAGAGAACAAAAGGAGCCGCTGAGTCTGTAATTCTAGCAGGAGCCACTGAGTGTGTTGTAATTTTTATCCAAAATCTCCACCTCAACCCTGCCGAGCTCCAAGGGGTTCTCCATCACCACCTGCAAGTGTAAGGAGCATAAAGGTTGGAAGTCACAAACTCCTTCCCCCGGTCTTTCTTTAGACTAACAAAATCCCATTATCGAGGTTGGCCTTCATGAGGGCCCTTCATGGTTTCTTGCACTGGCCTGTGATGAGCAATATGGAGAAATACGTACCTTAGTCCATGGTCCTGTATTTGTGTTTCAGCTGAGACTACCAGTCTGCCAAAGCTTTTATTTTCCTGGCTGGTTTTCCCCTTCACCGGGGTAGCAGACACCATCACTAATAATGTATGACTGGCATGATGACATAGGAGAGTACCAACCCATATGCCAGAGAGGAGGAATGTGAGGGATAAAATATGCAGTAAATTCATCAGCTGGGAGGAGGCAGAGTTACATTATTATTTATTTTATTTTAAACAAGAGTTCTAGTTTAATGCATAACGGGCAAAATAAAACATGGACATACTGTACACTGCATTGCCAAAAGTATTGGGCCGCCTGCCTTTTACACGCACATGACCTTTAATGGCCCCCCGCAGTCTTAGTCCGTAGGGGTTCAATATTGAGTTGGCCCCGCCCTTTCCACGCACATGACCCTTAATGGCCCCCCAGTCTTAGTCCGTAGGGTTCAATATTGGGTTGGCCCCGCCCTTTCCACGCACATGACCTTTAATGGCCCCCCAGTCTTAGTCCGTAGGGTTCAATATTGAGTTGGCCCCGCCCCTTTCACGCACATGACCTTTAATGGCCCCCCAGTCTTACTCCGTAGGGTTCAATATTGAGTTGGCCCCCGCCCTTTCCACGCACATGACCCTTAATGGCCCCCCAGTCTTTGTCCGTAGGGTTCAATATTGAGTTGGCCCCGCCCTTTCCAACCACACACATGAACTTTAATGGCCCCCCCAGTCTTTGTCCGTAGGGTTCAATATTGAGTTGGGCCCCGCCCTTTCCACACACATGACCTTTAATGCCCCCCCAGTCTTAGTCCGTAGGGTTCAATATTGAGTTGGCCCCGCCCTTTGCAGCTATAACAGCTTCAACTCTTCTGGGAAGGCCCCCCCACAAGGTTTAGGAGGGTGTCTATGGGAAGGTTGGACCATTCTTCCAGAAGCACATTTGTCAGGTCAGGCACTGATGTCGGGGGAGGAGGCCTGGCTCGCAGTCTCCGCTCTAATTCATCCCAAAGGTGTTCTATGGGGTTGAGGTCAGGACTCTGTGCAGGACAGTCAAGTTCCTCCACCCCACAAACTGGCTCCTCCATGTCTTTATGGACCTTGCTTTGTGCACTGGTGGGCAGTCATGTTGGAAAAAAGGAAGGGCCATCCCCCTCCTCCCACAAAGTTGGGAGCATGAAATTGTCGAAAATGTTGCCTTAAGAGTTCCGTTCACTGGAACTAGGGGGCCAAGCCCAACCCCTGAAACACAACCCCCACCATAATCCCCCCTCCACCAAACTTTACACTTGGCACAATGCAGTCAGGCAAGTACCGTTCTCCTGGTAACTGCCAAACCTAGACATGTCCATCGGATTGCCAGACAGAGAAGCGTCATTAGTCACTCCAGAGAACACATCTCCACTGCTAGCTCTAGAGTCCAGTGGCGGCGTGCTTTACACCACTACTCCTAAAGGAAGTATATGTCCAGCAGGTTCCAGGGAAAGTGAACGGAAAGCGTGTATAGCCTAATTGCAGGCATCAAAGGAGGTGAGCGCACATCTTCACTATTTGAAGGATTCACAAAAGTCACAAATTGAAGAACAACAAGCACCAAGTCACTATATACAAACAATTGTTTTATTTCAATGGGACTATTTTTTGATGATATTTGGATTCATACTAATTACTACTAATTATTTATGAGCATTTGGTTATTTTTATTTATGGGGGATCATTTAAAATGCGTTTTAGTTGAGGGTTATTAGTTGGTTTATTATTTTTATTATATTAAATGAGGGTATTATGAATATAAATGAAATTGAGGGTATTAGTAAGTACATCATGTCACTAATAGATGATTTGTGAGCACTTGGTAAATATTTTTTTAGAGGAGTATTTCATGTGGAATTATTTTGATATTTATTTGGAGGAGATTGATTAGTTGAAATTATCTATTAAATATTTTTTGGTATGTATACACTTTTATTAGTTATTTGTATCATAATTTGAATTAATTTAATGGTAATAATTTAATTATTATTTTATTGAGAAGTATTTAGGAGCGCAACATATATTTGTAGATAGTGCTTTACACCACGGCATCCGACGCTTTGCATTGCACTTGGTGATGGAAGGCTTGGATGCAGGTGCTCGGCCATGGGAAACCCATTCCATGAAGCTCTCTACACACTGTTGTTGGGCTCATTCTGAAGGCCACACCAAGTTTGGAGGTCTTTAGCTATTGACTCTGCAGACCAGTTGGTGACTTCTGCGCACTGTGCGCTTCAGCATGCGCTGACCCCGCCCTGTCATGTGACCTGGGCCCTACCACTTGGTGGCTGAGTGGCTGTTGTTCCCCAGTGGCTTCCACTTTGTTATAATCCCACTAACAGTTGAGCGTGGAATATTTAGTAGCCAGGAAATGTCATGGATGGACTTATTGCCCAGGTGGCCACCTATCACGGGACCACGCTTGGAGTCACTGAGCTCCTGAGAGCGACCCATTCTTTCACCAATGTTTGTAGAAGCCGTCTGCATGCCTAGGGGCTTGATTGTATACACCTGTGTCCATGGAGGGGATTGGAGCACCTGAGTCACATGATAGGGAGGGGGATTGGAGCACCCTGAGTCACATGATAGGGAGGGGATTGGGAACACCTGAATTACATGATAGGGAGGGGATTGGAACACCTGAATTACATGATAGGGAGGGGATTGGAACACCTGAATCACATGATAGGGAGGGGATTGGAACACCTGAATCACATGATATGGAGGGGATTGGAACACTGGAATCACATGATTTTTGTGGGGATTGGAACACCTGAATCACATGATATGGAGGGATTGTAACACCTGAATCACATGATTTGGAGGGGATTGGAACACCTGAATCACATGATATGGAGGGGATTGGAACACCTGAATCACATGATTGGGAGGGGATTGGAACACCTGAATCACATGATATGGAGGGGATTGGAACACCCGAATCACATGATATGGAGGGGATTGGAACACCCGAATCACATGATATGGAGGGGATTGGAACACCTGAATCACATGATTTTGGCCCAATACTTTTGGTAACATAGTGTATATAATATAATCTGTCATTAGCATTCACACGGTAGTCTTCGGGATATTTGGACAGCTCAGTAATATGATCATTCAGCCATCAGTGAGATACAGTAACGTAACCCATGTGATACAATTTTACAAAAGCCAAAGCTGTGGATCACAAGGGTTGTAGAGAGATTGTATTGTAGAAAGATTTTGTTTTCAGCTTACATTTGTTTCTTGAAGGTTTGATGCAATGTCTGTGATTTCAGGTCTGGTGTCTCCTGGGAGCTCAGCTGCCATTGAAATAAGGATACATTAGTCCTCCTGACCCCGACATCATACACAGCATTGCGCCGTTCTTAATTGAGCGGACTCCAAACATTCTGTGACTTCAGTGAGGTGTACATTGTTTTGTGGTCTTTTGTTGTGGAGTCAATGAACAGATACAATGTATTTCCAGGAAGAGAACACCAAACAATTCAGCTTTGCAGTTTTGGAATGTCCATTGTGAGAATGGCCTCCTTCGCTCTCCTGGAACATAAGACCTTGTCACAATAAATGCCAAAGACAGTTTCAGCTGCTTCCATGTTTCAGTTGGTGGTTTATCTCTGCTATTTAGCCTTAGAGTGACAGTGAAGATTCCCTTCATTGCCAAAAAAATATTGGAACCCCATTACATTAGTTCAGCAAATTACTCATTAATGCTCCAAAGACCTGAATGTAGTCCTAAGATTTATGGTGTAGGACCCTTAGGTGTTCTTGAAGCTGGCGCCATCTTGTTTATGTGTTCTCCTATCCTTTTGCTCCCACCTCAGCACAGGTGCTCTTCACATCATGGCACAACCGGGAGGCTGTCTGGATGTGCAATGAACGGCGCATATGCTGGTGATGTAAACAGGAACAGTAACAGCAATACCGTAAGAACAAAAAGTGTTTGGTGGATATGGATACTAACAACATGGAGTATGTACACCGATCAGCCATAGCATTATACCCACCCAACCTAACATTATCACCACCCAACTAATAGTGAGTAGGTCCCCCTTTTGCCACCAAGGCAGCCCTGAACCATCAAGGCATGGTCTTCATTAGACAAAGGATCACATTTCCTCCACTGGCTTGCCTTCTTCCCGTACTGCACCCTGGTGCCATCTCTTCCACACACTTAGCCATCCACGTGATGTAAAAGAAAATGTGATTCATCAAACCAGGCTCCCTTCTTCCATTGCTCTGTGGGCCAGTTCTGATGCTCACGTGCCCATTGTAGAGAATTATGGCTGTGGACATGGGCCAGCATGGACACCCTGACCGGTCTGCAGCTACACAGCCCCATACACAACAAACTGTGATGAATTGAGTGTTGTGATATCTTTCTCACTGAACCAGTATTAATGTTTTCAGCAATTTGAGCTCCAGTAGCTCTTGGATTGGAGTACACAGACCAGCCTTTGCTCCCCACGTCCATCCCTCACCACCTCCAATTGAGCCTTCCCTCACCACCTCCATCATTGAGCCTTCCCCTCCTCTCACTACCATCAAGGAGCCTTCCCTCACCGCCTCAATCAAGGAGCCTTCCCTCACCACCTCCATCAATGAGCCTTCCCTCACCACCTCCATCAAAGAGCCTTCCCTCACCACCTCCATCAAGGAGCCTTCCCTCACCACCTCCATCAAGGAGCCTTCCCTCACCACCTCCATCAAGGAGCCTTCCCTCACCACCTCCATCAATTGAGCCTTCTCACCACCTCCATCAATGAGCCTTCCCTCACCTCCTCCATCAAGGAGCCTTCCTCACCACCTCCATCAATGAGCCTTACCTCACCTCCTCCATCAATGAGCCTTACCTCACCTCCTCCATCAATGAGCCTTACCTCACCTCCTCCATCAATGAGCCTTACCTCACCTCCTCCATCAATGAGCCTTACCTCACCTCCTCCATCAATGAGCCTTACCTCTCCTCCTCCATCAATGAGCCTTACCCTCACCTCCTCCATCAATGAGCCTTCCCTCACCTCCATATCATTGAGCCTTCCCTCACCACCTCCATCAATGAGCCTTCCCTCACCACCTCCATCATTGAGCCTTCCCTCACCACCTCCATCATTGAGCACTTCCCTCACACCTCCATCATTGAGCCTTCCCTCACCACCTCCATCATTGAGCCTTCCCTCACCACCTCCATCATTGAGCCTTCCCTCACCACCTCCATCATTGAGCCTTCCCTCTCCACCTCCATCATTGAGCCTTCACCACCTCCATCATTGAGCCTTCCCTCACCACCTCCATCATTGAGCCTTCCCTCACCACCTCCAACATCATTAAGCCTTCCCTCACCACCTTCCAACAATGAGCGTTGGCCACTCATGACCCTGTTGCCGGCCGTTTCCATCCTTGGACCACTTTTGTTCTGGCTTGACAATTGCAGACCCTCTGTCACGGGTGTAAGGTCAGGTTCAGAGACCAGTTGCTATAGCAGGTAAAAGGCTTACCTGTGAACCAGCAGGTTTAGGTACACCAGCGGATCCCCCTGGGAATGACGCAGGCTCACCTGAGGTGCGGGGTCTAAGTATTAACCGGTATTCACCAGAGCTCCTAATGGTGGAGATGGATTGGGCTGCGTGTTAATACCAGGTCCGCAGATCTCAGGATCACCCCACCAGGGAATGAGCAGACTGGGAACCAATAGCGGATCAACAGGTTAGGGATCAGACAAAAGCAAGTCGGTCACAAGCCAAGGGTCGGTCACACATGGTAGCAGATCAATCGTGGTCAGGAACAAGCCAAAGGTCAGTAGCGGAGGTGTAGACAGCAGCAGGAACAGTAGCAGGATATTGGCTGGAAAGGCACAATAATCTGGCAAGGAGGAAGTCCAAGGACATGGCTTTATATAGGAAGTTCATGGGAGGAGCAAGGAGTTCAAGGTTCAAGAGCAAACAAGCGCACAAGGCAGGGATTATCCAATAGATGAGGCATCAGTGTTGTTTTAGCATCCCAGATAGCTCACGTGAGTAGAGTTTGAGTTACTGGCCTGACAGCACAGTAGAAGTCCCAGGTTCAAGTCCAGGCCCTGGACAGTACTTGTTCCCCTCCTCCCAGACGTCCTCTGGACGTCTTAGGACTATAGGCTTGCGTGGAAAAGCCTCTGGTGGAAATCTCTTGTTAGTCTAGGAGCCATGAACATTCTCCTCAGGCTCCCAAGAATTTTCTTCTGGTCCATATCCTTCCCCATTGAACCAATACTGTAAAACTTATTCCTAAAGATCCTGGAATCAAGGATTTTCTCCACCACAAATTCTTCTTCACCCTGTACCTCAACAGGTGGAGGAGGTGGAAAAATTCTTCCAGGGAAAGGATTTTCCTGAAACGGTTTGAGTAGTGATATATGAAAAACAGGGTGAATCCTCATACTATACGGGAAGCTGTAAGCGAAAGGTGACTGGGTTGATTTGGGCAAAAATCTGAAAAGGACCCACAAACTTTTGATCCCAACTTAGCAGATGGCACCTGGACCTTCAAAGTCTTTGTTGATAACCAAACTTTTTCACCCACATGAAACGTAGGAAGTGTTCTCCGGTGTCTGTCTGCAGACTTTTGTTGTATACTCCCTGAGCTTCCCTCAAAGTCTCAATCAATTTCTTCTTGAATCTCCTGCAATGTAGTTAAGTCTATCGGTAAACAGCAGGATTGGAGTTGTGATAGGGAGATCAGGAATCTCATCAAAAACTGGATGGTAACCGGTTTAAGTAAATAGGACTTTGAGAGGTGGAAAACTATGTTTAGAATTGTTGTATGCAAAACTCTGCAGTGGGAACACAGTCCACCCAGTCATCCTGAAGATAAGTGACAAAGCATCGAAGATACTGTTCCATTGTTTGATTAGTTCTCTCAGTCTGACCATTAGACTGGAGGATGAAAAGCAGAGGGACAGATTAATTGTAACACCTAAGGCTGAGCAAAAACTTCTCCAGAATTTCGAAGTAAACTGCACACCTCTGTCAGACACCACATCATCAGGGATTCCATGCAGTTTAAAAATTTCTCGAACCATCAATTCAGCATCTGTTCAAGCATGGGGCCACCCCCTTAACTGGAAACAAAATGGGCCCATTTTAGTGAGACGTCAACCACTACCAAAATGGTGGTCTATTCCTTTTGAGGGAGGTAAATCCAAAAAAAAAAAAAAAAAAAAAAAAAAAAAAAAAAAAACAAAAAAGAATAAAAAAAAAAAAAAAAAAAAAAAAAAAAATAAATAAAAAAAAATTAAATAAAAAAAAAAATTAAAAAAAAAAAAAAAAAAAAAAAAAAAAAAAAAAAAAAAAAAAAAAAAAAATCCACAAAATCCATAGAAATAGACCCCCCATGGTCTTGATGGAACAGGGAGTGGCTGAAGGCAACCCCAAAGGGGAGGGCTCGGGGAATCTTATTGCGTGCGACAGGTCAAGCATGAGGCCACATAGCGTTTGACATCTTTCTTCTGGTACCCCGGGTCCACCAAAAGGAACGTGATAATAGTTCTTCGGTCTTAGCGACTCCCTAAATGCCCAGCAAGTTTGGAATCATGAACCAACTTCGAGAGCTTCCACCCGAACAGAGTTTCAGGTACATAAAGATGATGTCCTGAATCCAAAAGCCATTCTTATAAGTCAGGTTAATGTCCGTAGGTGGATGATTGAGAAGTGGGGGTCATTCTCATACCCCTCTTTAAGAAGATTCAAGAATGCCTTAGGACTTGTGGCCCCTAGAAAGTTCTTTTGAGGCAGGATTGTGCATTCAGAAGTGTTTCTCCTGGAGAGGCCCAGAACGACATTCGTTGATAAGGCATCAGCCTTTCCGTTTCTTGACCCACGGTCGATATGAGATAATAAAATTGAACCTGGAAAAGAACAGTGACCAACGTGCTTGTGTCTAGAAGACAATCTCTTGGCAGAACGGATGAATTCTAGATTTTTATGATCCATGAAGACAGTCACAGGATGCTTAGCCCCTTCCAACAGAGATGCCTCCATTCGGAAAAGGCTTCCTAATTGCCAGCAGACTCCTTATTCC